TATATTTAGGAATTTTAGGTACTACAGAACGAACTAGATAACTTTATTTGTATCGCTTAATACTGAGAGAATAAGTTTCATCACGGGACTCACTCGTCACCAGCTCAATGCAAATCGCTCATTCATCGTCGCACAACACACAAAGTAGAGTAAATTGTCGCAGTATATTTAATGATGTTCTAGCTATTATAGCCACGGATTGGAAGGAAGCCGCNCGATAAGGCTACTCTATCGCGACGTTTTTGCAATTTAAGTATTGGCGTTCAAGTCGCAACAGCGGTTGCGTTCTTCATATCTATTCTAGTGCAAATCAGCCAGAACAACGTCGACGAGGACGGCACGCAAATTCGCGAGTTTACGATCAAGATGCAACTGCCGTTCGACTGCAATCAGTCACCGCGGTATGAAATCGTTCAATGCCTGAGTTTCATACATATGATGTCGACAGCAAGTTTGAACGGCATGATGAACTCGCTGGTCATCACGTTCGTGAGTGAGAATCTACGAAAGAATATTACTCGTACAGAAGTGTTGTACCAATAAAAATAATCAACAGCGTCATAATTGGAACAAATCTTATCAACGTAATGAGTATATTGTTAAAACTAATATTGAAATTATTAAAATATTTTGTGATTTATTATTTCAATAACGCGGAAAAAGAAATCTGGTTGTATTAACCGGAAGAGGAATAACAAAGTGCATGATGGTTGAAGAAAACAGAATTTCTGTTTATGAGGGCCACATTAGAATCAAAAGAATCAGAAGTTATATTTCTTTAACCATAATACATTTGATTGTCCCTTTTCTGGTTAATACAATTGGACTTTTTCTCCGTATAATGTTAAAGCAAAAAGTTCACCTTTACACTTTACACTTCTTGATCTTAAATTCTGGCGTTGTTAACAAATTTCTACTGATACAACGCCACTGTTTTCTTCTGTATGTCCATTAGTGGTTCCTGTCCTCGCGACTGTGCCTTTTTTGTTCGAATATCTAAATAACGACCATTTCCAGGTTTTTCACGCATGCGGCCAAATAGAAATCCTATGCGACGCGTTGAACGATTTTTCCTCCAGCAAATGTAACCAACGCTTGACGTCCTCCACCGCGGGCGAATTGGTAAACAAGCATCAAAAGATCATTTCCTTCTCCGAGAAGATTGAGAGAATTTTCTGTTACATCGCACTGATACAATTCATGTTAAGTTCGTTGGTAATGTGCTGCTTGGGATACATGTTGGTGACAGTAAGTGACTATTCGTGAAAAAGCGCGATATCTACATTCATCCCTTCATAGTAAGTTTGATGTTGCAGAAAATTAGCAAATCACAGGAAGTTGGATCGATCGACAATAAAGTTCTGATAAAAGCTGCGATGTTTTACATGGCCGCCATGGTCGAGGCATTTATGTTCTGCTTTTGTGGAGAATACCTCACCACTAAGGTCGGAACCGCACAATTGATTCCCTTAGGCCTCATTCTTACTTAGAGATTTCATCGTCCCTATAATTCATTCTATACAGTACGATCTCGTTATAAGTCCGTTCTTCTCTCGGTATAAGTCTGTTCTTCTTCACACATATTTTTACTAACGCTATTTTTGAGTTATAGTTATTGATCGTAATACTACAATACGAATGATGATTGTATGTCAATTTACGTTCATTCGTGTTTATTGACAATACGACGTTCTTACGACACTCTACTTTAGAGTAAAATGATCAGCCACGCGTCCTACAACTCAGTCTGGTACGATTTGAAGCCCGAACAGAGCAAAGTCATCTTGCTTATTATGTTGAGGTCACAAAAGTGTCTTACCATCACGGCCGGGAAAATAATGGATCTGTCTTTGGAAAAATTTACGAGCGTAAGATTCCAGTCTTTTGTGAAGTCTCCGTTATTAAAATCCTGCTCGTGTTAACCACCTAATTCTTGACGTTCATTTCAAATGACCGATATACTTTTCTTTTCTACGATTTGATGTCAAGTGAGAGAGATACACATTTTTAGTGATTTTTTCGATATTTACTATAAAGTTCGTTTTAATATAAAATAGTTTTCTATCGGGAAGATTTAACTCTCTAAAGAATTATTTGATATATTCACGCGCTTTTCACGCGTCCCTTTCACGCTATTATCACTTAATATGATTTTTCTAGATCATGAAGGCCTCCGTTTCATATATATCAGTATTGCATGCGATGTCTTAAAGTTTGGAAGAAAACGATCATCGAGACTAAATGCCAATTAGCCGCAACCAAATATATATCTCGGCTCTTTAGAATATTTCTATTGGTCCTTTATCGCCTGTGGCTATCCTCATGAGCAGATGCGATGATTACTACATAGATCATAGTTGAATGTAGATGATGTATTAGTTTATCTTCCGTATTTTATAATAAACTACTTCTGTTTCCACACGATAGCTGTTTGCATAGACGCACACGTACCAATTTTATACAGAGATATAACAATTCCCTGATTTATATTGGTGTCTTTCAAGTGTT